GTGATCTGGTCTATGGGGTCGCGAAGAGTCAGACTCGACTGTGCAACTGAACAACAATAGATAGGAGCTCTCGGTCTGGGGCAAGTGATGCTCTGTCTTCTTGGTGCTTGGGGGGGGGGGTAACAGTGGAAGGGCTTCTAGTGTCCTGGCCCCACTGGTGGACCTCCTGATGGCACCTGGTAGTTTTGGCCACCATGTGACACAGAGTGCTGGACTGGATTGGCCATTGGCCTGTTCCAGCATGGGCTCCTCTTATGTTCTTAAGGCAAAAGAAATAGTCAAAGAGCACTTTCCCCCCCATTTGTTCATTAAGGTCAGCCTAGAACTCAGGAGCTCCTAACAGAAGCGGAGAAGCCGTAGACTCAGGCTGGAGCGTAGGGTTGCCAGGTCTGGGTTGGAAAAAACCTGGAGACTTTGGGGGTGGAGCCAGGAGAGGGCAGGGTTTGGGGAGGGGAGGAGCCTCAGCAGGGTCCAATGCCATAGACTCCACCCTCCAAAGCAGCCATTTCTCCAGGGGAGCTGATCTCTGTCAGCTGGAGATCAGTTGTAAAAGCAGATCTCCAGGTGGGAGGGCTTCTAATGTCCTGGCCCCACTGCTGGACCTCCTGATGGCACTGGTATTTCTGGCCACTGTGTGACACAGAGTGTTGGACTGGATGGGCCTTTGGCCTGATCCAACATTGGCGTCTCTTATGTTCTTATGTTCAGATCTCCAGGCCCCACCTGGAGGCTGGCAACCCTAGGTTGGGCAGAAGCCAAGAAACCCACGTAGAAAATCTGCTGCTACTAAAATCAGTGAGGGCTGATGCGGCCGATGGCTTCAACAGCAGATTCGAGAAGTTCTTGGACAGAGAGGAGGAGGAGGAAGAGGAGGAGGAAGAAGAGATTGAATTTATACCCCGCCCTTCACTCCTCAGAGTCTCAGAGCAGCTTACAGTCCCCTTTCCCTTCCCCTCCCCACTACAGACACCCTGTGAGGCACGTGGGGCTGAGAGACCTCTGACAGAAACTGCTCTTTCAAGGACAGCTCTGACAGAACTATAGCTTGCCCAAGGTCATCCAGCAGCTGCAAGTGGAGAAGTGGGGAATCAAACCTGGTTCTCCCAGATTAGAGTCCGTGCACTTAACCACTACACCAAAACGGCTGTGGCCCTCCAAGCCCCACGGCTGCCGGAACTCAAAAGAGGCAGGGTTTGGCCACCTCCTTGTGGGTCTTCCAGAACATCTGAATGACGACGGTGGGGAATAGGCTGCAGAGACCTGGACGGGCAGGAGAGCCAGGCTGGCATACCGCACTCTCTGGTACCAATCTCGGCTCTCTGAAAGGGAAGGGGGGATTTCCAAAGCCATGAAGAGCGAAGAGGGGAGGGAGAAGGCGATCACTTCCAGATGGTCCTCTCTGCCAAGCTTAACATTCCTTAAGGGTACGTGAAGAGAGGGGCTTACCCCCCCCAGCGCCCTTCGCTCCCACATATATAATTGCTTTTGTTCCACCACCGTGGCTCTGGTCTTGCGGAGCCAAACACAAAGGGGCGCCCCTCTTCTCCAGAGGAGCTTCGGCCTCATTTGTTTGGACAGGTTCAGAAATAAAAGTCTCCCCGAGCTGGCTTTGGATGGAGTGAGCGGTACCACACCACAGCAGAAATGTTTTGACATACGCACAGGAAAGAAGCCCGAGTCGAGACGGACGGCTGTCGGTCAGTGAGACCCCCAAGCCTTTCTGTAACAAAACTCATTCAGGCCAAGGGGAGGTGGGAAACCTGTCTTGCAGAGTGGGAGAAGGAATCAGATGCTGAGCGATCCAACCAAAACAAGCTTAAATGCACACAGAGAATGGCCAGTCTCTAGGCTGATCACCGCATGCAGAGGACTGTGTGTAGCAAGGCTCCCTCTACGCTGTGGAGTCCTGTGAGCAAAAATTCTACCTTGTGAGCCACTGGCATTAAAGTTGTGAGTGAGCGATTGGCCCTCTTTCCTGAGCGAAGGCAAAAATGTGTGAGCCGGAGGCTAACAAACTGTGAGCTAGCTCACGCTAACTCGGCTTAGAGGGAACACTGGTGTGTAGTGTGTGTGTGGGGAGAGAATGCAGGAGCGCCCCACTCTTTTACCCTTTTCAAACAGACGTGCTGCAGTGTGGAACATCCTGGCCCGGGGAAACCCCACAACTGCAGCCCAGAAAAAGGTTTACCACACACCTGCTGTTTGCATGAACCTGGCCTTTGCAAAGGGCTCTAGAAGCCAACTGTCCTATCCCAAGCCAGGCAAAAAAAAAAAAGAGCAATAAGTTTTCAGTAAGTCTGAATAATTCTGCCCGAGGCCATCACAACAGGATTCCTTTTTTTGGGGGGGGAAGAGTATTTCTGCATTAGATTGTAAAAACGGGGGGGGGGGGGTACGACTCAAATTCACTTTGAATGCAACCCCGTGAAGACTCTAGAAGCCAACTGTTCTACTCCAAGCCTGACAAAAAGGAACAATATGTTTTCAGTAAGTCTGAAAACGGGATTGAACGCACTTTTTAAAAAACATCCAAGCTCAGAGTTCCTTCATGTTCATTGCTTGGGACCATTGCAACAGGATTTTTTTTTTAAAAAAAGTGAGCCTACTTCTGAATTAGATTGTAAAAATGGGGGGGGGGGCTACCTAAATTCCCTTTGAATGGTTCAGCCATGTCCGACCCCTGTGAAGAATGTCCAGGTGATGTGCACAGCCCTGTCCCCCGACAAATGGCCACCAGAGAGGCTTTTAGTCCAGGACGCCCCACCTTAGGAAAGAGGGCTATTCTTCTTGGTCTAATGGAAACTCTGGCTCAGGGGCAGAACACCTGCTTGGCATGCAGAAGGTCCCAGGTTCAATCCCCCACATCTCCAAAAAGGACCAGGTGGTAGATGCTGAGTTTGTAGAACATTGTGTTATACGAACCAGCACCTCCTGGTAGTTACTGGCCGGAGGGAGGTCCGACTTGTCTCAACTAGGGGCAGAGCCTTTTCGGCTCTGGCCCCTGCCTGGTGGAATGAGCTATCTGATGAGATCGGGGCCCCGCGGGACCTGTTACGGTTCCGCGGGGGCTGCAAGACGGAGCTCTTCCGCCTGGCCTTTAGTGGAGGCAGCCGGCATCCACTTTGATTCGGCCTCCCCTCCAGTGACCGCAGATCCTAGAAGCTGATTGGGACCACAATATTATCTGTTGAGGTGCGTTGTTGCCTTAGTGTGTGGGTGACTTTATTGATTTTGATGGATTGTTGCAATATTTTTTAAAATTGTAAATCTGCCCAAATTGCAGATCTGTATGTTGGTACCTACCCTGAACCTACAATATGGGCAGGGCGGGATATAAGTCTAATAAAATAAATAAAGGACTGAGACCCTGGAGAGATGCTGCCAGTCTGAGTTGACAAGACGGATCCTGAGGGACCCCTCCCATGGATGACAGACCCCTCCCAGTGATGTGAAAGACCTCCTGCCTAAGACCCTGGACAGCCACTGCCACTCTAAGTAGCAGTAGAAAAGAGAAGAAGAAGAAGAGATTGGATTTATGCCCCGCCCTTCACTCAGCGTCTCAGAGCGGCTTACAGACTCCTTTCCCTTCCTCTCCCCACAACAGAAAACCTGTGAGGTAGGTGGGGCTGAGAGAGCTCTCTGGAGAACTGCTCCTGAAAGAACAGCTCTGACGGAACTACGGCTTGCCCAAGGTCATCCAGCAGCTGCGAGTGGAGGAGTGGGGAATCAGACCCGGTTCTCCCGGATCAGAGTCCGCACACTGAACCACGACACCAAACTGACAAAAGAGGACTTGTCCAGTAGCACCTTCAAGACTAACAACATTTTGTGGCAGGGGAGCAGCTTTTGGGAGTCGGTCTTGAAGGTGCTCCTGGAATTTTGTTCTTTTCTACTGCTCCGGACAGACTCACGCGGCACCAAACCTTGATCTACCTCCATGAACATCTGCGTAGCTCAGACTGACCTTAATGGCCCTGGGCTTTCTCCTGAACCAGACCACTGATCCCAACAACTTTTTACGGACTACTCTCACTGGCAGTGGCTCTCTGACAGGGGTCATCCCCCTCCTCTCCATATCTGAGGTCCTTTGCCTGGAGATGCTGAGTCTCAAACGGGGGACCTTCTGCATGCAAGACACGTGCTCCACGGCTGAGCCACAGTCCCTCCCAAAACCCCGTAGAGACTGTAGAGGCCGACTCCCCCCCCAGCGTGGCAGAAGAGAGGATTAACCCCCCCCCCAGCCCCAGGGACAGAGCACTCCAACTGACATCCCAAATCACCCTTCCTCAGTCTCGGCAGGATCCTCTTCTGGCTTATATGCAGGAATTTGGATCTTGAGTAGAGGTAGCTGCCTGGGCAAAAGGCTTTCTCCCCTGAAAAGGGAGGCAACAGACATTGGGTGTGGGGGGGAGGAGATGGGCTCTGTGGGGTGGGAGTGCTTTTTTGCAGAAACTGTAAACTTCAGCAGGGTCTAGCTGTGAGTGGGAGAGGAACGGAGGACAGCTGCCACTGGGGGGGAGGAAGCTTTCAAAGAGGAGCTGAACCAGGTGGCCGCAGCTGTTAGTTCAACAGCGGGGCCTTCCCACGCATTCCCTCGCTCTGCACAAAGGAAACACACGAAGAAGCAGGGTGCGGAGAGGGGATCGCGCACGTGTGTTGTTTGGATTTTATTCTCTCAGAAGAGCACCTTCCTTGCGGTCTCCAGCAGGAGATACAAAAGGAGATTTGGTTTCAGGCAATAACAAGCTGGCCGTAGAAAAGAGCATCGGGTGACCGATCGCCAAGAGCTCTGCCTTAACGCTGGGGCAGGGTGACCCTCTGGAGGAAGCAGCAAGGTCTCGCCGTCCTCCTGCCGTGCCATGCGGGAGTCCACCGGCCGCCTGTCACTGCTCCTGCACAGAGAAAGAGGATCTGTCATTACGCTCTGGCTTCCAGAACCAGCCTCAGCTTTGCAGCCCTTGGATTCTGCAGAAGATCCCCCGAGAGCCAGTGCAGTGGCACGGGGAGACCAGGGCACGACAACTCATTTGGCCACGGAGCTCACTGGGTGTCTCTGGCTTAGCCACACTCGCTCTCTCGGCCTAGCCGACCTCACAGGGCTGTTCAGGGAGAACCAACACATTCCACCCAACCTCCTTGGGAGCGGGTACAATGGCTAGAAGTCACGTCCCCGTGCAAGCCCTGGACAGAGACGAAGGGCTGTGTTCCAGTCTGCACCTGCGAGAGGACGAGCCGGCAATCTGGCGCTCTCTTTTCCCTGCGTCCCTCCCGAGATCCCTGTCCTGAGCAGTGTTCCCTCTAAGCTGAGTTAGTGTGAGCCGGCTCACAGTTTTTTAGCCTCCGGCTCACACATTTTTGTCTTAGCTCAGGAAGGAGGGCTCCTGAGCAAACTAATTTATGCAGTAACCAAATTGCTCGCTCACAACTTTAATGCCAGTTGCTCACCAAGCAGAATCTTTGCTCACAAGACTCCACAGCTTAGAGGGAACATTGGTCCTGAGAACAGAGGTTGCCCCCGGAACGCCCTCTCCTCTGTCACCTGAGGTGACCTCCTGGGCTGTGCAAGACGCTCAGAGCCTTTTTCTCTCTCTAGGGCGAATCCCACTCCTTCCTGACCTGCATCCTTTCCAGATAGGCAAGTCTCCAGCCCTTGGGTGCAAAGACACGAAGACCTGGAAGACGTCTCAGGGGCCAGGAGGGCGACGGAACACAACTGAGGGGGCTCGGGGGGGAGTAACGCTCGCTCCCTCCCCTCCAATGAAAGGCAGCAACCTCTGCTTCTTTGGTAGGAATCCTTGCAAACCCTTCCTGGCACAGGTGCAGAAGGAGAAGGAGAAGAAGAGGAAGGAGGAGGAGGAGAAGGAGAAGAAGAAGTGGAGGAGGAGGAGATTGGATTTATACCCCGCCCTTCACTAACCTCAAGGGAGTCTCAGAGCAGCTGACAAACTCCTTTCCCCCCCCCCTCCCCACAACAGACACCCGGTGAGGTTGGTGGGGCTGAGAGAGCTCTGACAGAAACGGCTCTTTTCCAAGGACAGCTCTTGTCAGAACTACGGCTTGCCCAAGGTCATCCAGCCAGATGGGAAAGGAGGAAAAGCCATAAAAGTGACTGTGCAGAGACACAGCAGACAGAGACACAGCAGACAGCTGCCTCTGAGGGATGGGGAGTGCTGCTCTGTGTGTGTACACACAGAGTGGAATCAATCACTCCCAACACAAAGACGTGGCATAATTTCCCGACTTCCCAGTAGAAACTGGACTGCTGATGCCTCTTCCAGAGACTCATGCAGAGACTCAATGGGCAGCATTTTCTGGCAGCAAGCGCTTTTGATACCTGCCTGTTCTGGTGGGTGGCCGACTGATCCCATCCCATCAGAATGACTTGCTCCCAGTGGAGGCTGACTGGAAGTACTCAGGAGAAGAGCAACAACTCCTACAGAGATGCAGCGGGCAGCCTCGTCTGTAAGTGGGGGGAGTCAGGCTCACGGGCAGTTCTAAGCAAGCGTCTCTAAGAAAGGCTCTCGGATACCGACTCACCTTGACAAATCTCCCATGGAGAAGATAAGGAGCCTGGAAGTCGTGTTGGCAGTTCGAGTACGCCATTCCTAAACCCATTCCCGACCCAAACGCGATTGGCCACGTCTTCCCTGGAACAAAGGGAGGGTGGGGGAAAGCAACGACAGGGAAGACTGAGGACTGCTCTTCAAATCAAAGCTGGCAAATAACAAACAACTATCAAACGGAGTTTTAAGAAATTCCATGGTGGGACAGCTGTGGATGTCAGGGCTTCAAGGAAACTGCCTTGCCATCCCACTGGGGCCTCTGTGTCAGAAACGTTCACAGCTTTAAAGTAGATGGTAACAGCCAAGAAGTGCTTCAGAAAAAGATCCCAATGAAGGAAAACTGTATACTAACTGCGCTTAATTAATCTTTAAATATTAAAGTGAACAAAATGCAGAAATTATTCGTGAAGTACAAAATACATAAGATGAGTACAAAATATATACAGGTATTCAACAGTTATTAGTTGTTGTATTGGTTGTTAACAATGATCTCCGGAATGTTCAACCATTTCAAAAGATATCTTCTTCTCAACAGATGAAGGAAAATGAAGAACATGTGATCTTATAGCATTCTGCCCTATGTAGAATCATCAGGAACTTCCTCTCAGTGATGTTTTGACATACAGAAGAAAATAATGAATTTCTTGAAATGTACCAGTTGAAAAACTGACCAGAGACGTCACATGTTCTTCATTTTCCTTCATCTGAGTTGGAAGGGACCTTGCAGGTCATCTAGTCCAACCCCCTGAACTCTGCAGGAGCATAGCTGAAAGATAGCCCTACATACCTACAACATACCCGAAAGATGGTCATCCAGCCTCCGCTTGAAAACGTCCAGCGAAGGAGCATCCACCACCTCCTGAGGGAGACTGTTCCGCTGCTCAACCATGCTTACAGTTATGGAAGTTTCTCCTAATATTTAGCCGGTAACGACTCCCTTGTAATTTCCACCCATTAGATCTAGTCTTGAAATCCGGAGCAAGAGAGAATAGATCTGCTCCATCTTCTACATGACAGCCCTTCAAATATTTGAAGACTGCAATCGTGTCCCCTCTAAGCCTTCTTTTTCCCAGGCAGGCTAAACAGACCCAACTCTTTCAGCCTTTCCTCGTAATACTTGGATTCCAACCCTCTCACCATCCTGGTTGCTCTCTTCTGGACACGCTCGAGCTTATCAACATCCTTCCTAAAATGGGGTGCCCAAAACTGGACACAGGACTCCAGGTGAGACCTGACCATAGCGGAATAGAGCGGAACGACCACCTCCTGTGATCTGGACACAAGGCTTCTGTTAATGCATCCCAAGATTGCATTAGCTTTCTTCGCAGCCACATCGCACTGCAGGCTCATGTGCATCCTCCTCTATGTTCCCGTCCTCGCTAGGGTCCAATCGGCTCATGCTCAGACATGCGCCTTTTCAGTTGCTGATCCCAACTCGGGAGACGAGGAAGGCTTCCACCCTGCTAACCTTCCAGAAAGGTTGCAAACTGTAATTTTACCAGATGCTTGGGGCCGATCAGTCTCAAGCGAAGGACACGTCGGTTGATGCACAGAATTACCATCCAGGATAGCACTACCTGACTCCGCTTGCTTGGTCTCACTGATATTTTAATCAAGACGAGTAGCCACGTTAGTCTGTTTGTAGAAGAAGGAAAGAGCAAGAGTCCAGGAGCACCTGAAAAACTAACAAAGTTTGTGGCAGAGGAGGTGCTTCTGTGAGTCACTGCTCACTCCGTCAGATTCCTGGTATCTGAAGAAGTGAACAGTGACTCTTGAAAGCTCCTAGTAAAGGTAAAGGTTTCCCTTACTTGAAAGCCGGTCGAATCCGACTCTAGGCGGCGGTGCTCATCTCCGTTTCCAAGCCGAAGAGCCAGCACTGTCTGAAGATGTTTCCGTGGTGATGTGGCCGGCATGATTAAACGCCGAGACACACGGAACACTGTTACCTTCCCACCAAAGCGGTACCTATTTATCTACCTGCAATTTCTTGCTTTCAAACTGCTAGGTTGGCAGGAGCTGGGGCCAGAGACGGGAGCTCACTCCGTTATGCGGCACTAGGATCTCGAACTGCTGAACACTGACCTTCCGGTCTGCAGCTCAGCGTCTTAACCACTGAGCCACCGAAGCCCCTTGAAAGCTACCACCTTGCCACAAATCTTGTCTTTAAGGTGCTACTGGACTCTTGCTCTTTTCTACGGATAATTTAATCATCAACACCAATTGTTTTATTCTTATTTTAACGTTGTTCATGCACTGGGTTCCACGTGTGTTGGGAGAAGGACAGACGAACAAGAACTCTCTACTCCACGTGTATTTTTATAAGCCTCTCTCATGCCTCACTTTGCATGCCTGAGCTTTTGCCCCTCCTCTCACAGAAGGTGCCTCCGACCCCTGAATCATCCACGGTGTCCCGGCTCTGTGAGCTCCTTACTGAAATACCAGCCTCAAGCCAGAACCTTCGCCCCCCTTGGAAGTTAAGCCCCGTTTGCAAGTGAAAAAACCTCAGTACGACTCCAGCCGCAGTTTGCCGTTGGAAGGGCTCTGAAGCAGAGAGGCACAGCAGCGTGTGCCGGCTTGCGAGCCTGGCAGATTATCCCAATGAGGAGTGAACCGTAAGGGAATTGCAGTGTGTGTGTGGGGAGGGTTTCCACCCCCCCACCTTAGCACACAACTCGGAGGCAATTAAGAGGGGCCAAAGTCTCTGGCCATGTCAGAATCTTTCCAGCCGGCCGGCCGAGGTGAGATCCAGCATTCTGACAGGTCCTGCAGACTGTGGGGCCGGGCCTGGCCAGACAACAGGTCATGGGGCTTGGCGGGAGCTTAACCGGCCTGGGGCTGCTAAGATGGAATGCTGGAAGGGAGCCGGTGGGGCGTAAGGGCCTCGCCGAAGAACGCGCCAGATGAAGCACGCTGGCTTCAAGGGATAGGAGCCAGCGGGGGGCAGTGGTTAGGGAGCCAGTGTGGTTCAGTGGTTAGAGTGTCGGACTGGGAGAACCAGGTTTGAATCCCCACTCGTGCCATGGATGCTTGCCAGGGGGTCCTGGGGCTAGTCACACACTCTCAGCCTAGGCTGAAGAAGGGAGCTTTGATGGAAGGAGCGGAGGGAGGGAGGGAGGTCTGGCTACTGAAAACTTATCCCCCCAAAATCTTGCCGGCTTCGAAGGCGCGACTGGACTCAGATCTACCAGTTCCCACTGCAGACCAACACGGCTAACCACAAAACTCACTGTGTGACCCTGCACCATACACCCCCCCAGGCAGTGCTCCCTCTAAGCTGTGGAGTCTTGTGAGCAAAAATTCCACTCTGTGAGCTCCTCGCCCTTAAGTGGTGAGTGAGTGAACGGTTGGGCTGCTGCACAAATCAGTTTGCCTCTGGAGCCATCCCTTCCTGAACTAAGACAAAAAGTGTGTGAGCCAGAGCCTAAAAAACTGTGAGCTGGCTCACACTCACTCGGCTTAGAGGGAACACTGCTCCCAGGGTCATTGTGAGCATCGAACGGAGGGAGAGAGGGCCCTGCATGCTGCCCAGTGCTCCTTGAAAGAAGACAGGGGCAAAAAGGTAAGACAGCACCCAATGCAAGCAAGGCAAACCCGGGAGCCAAAGGCCACTTACTTTTAAAGAAGACAACCGAGAAGATGACGCCCAGCCCAAAACCAGCACCTGTCAGAGAAACATAAGAGTTAAGAGAGAGGCCATCTCCCATCCCCTCTTGCCCGGGGAACACCTTCCTAGAAGTGCAGACAGAGGCTTAAGTAGCAACCGGCTAGGCCCTGTGTTAGTCCTGCATGGTGGTGGGGGGTAAACCTAGCTGCAGAGCAAAACTGCTCCTTCTGGCCACCATCCCCATGCAGGGGGAACACTGGCCTGCTGGGCACACGCCTGCCTATGACCCCCCCCCCCCCATTATTAGCAGCTATTTCCTTTGCTTTACTGTGACTTTAATTCCGTTCCTCAATTTTGGAAACGGGAGGCATTTTAAGACAAAAGCCAAACAGATAGATCTGTTCCAAGTAACCAGTCACCTTACCTAACACGGTTACATAAAGTTGTAACAACCCATTCCCATTACTCTTTCTAAAGTTAGCTGTGGTTTCGTAATGATTAACTGGTTTCTGCAATCAGCCAAAGGATAAAACCTTTACTTCTGTTCCGATGAAGCTCAGGCTTTACAAATACTTGACCCGTCAACCAACCTTTTTTTTGGGGGGGGGGAGAACCTGGTCAACAGGCCAGTTCTTAACCCCAGTGGGTGCTGGAAGCAACCTTTCCTACTTCTTGCAGCCAGTTTTATTGCATCCAGTGTTCCCTCTAAGCTGAGTTAGTGTGAGCTAGCTCGCAGTTTCCTAGCCTCCGGCTCACACATTTTTGTTCTACCTCAGGAAGGAGGGCTCCAGAGCAAACTAATTTATGCAGTAGCCAAATTGCTCGCTCACAACTTTAAGGCCAGGAGCTCATAAAGTAGAATTTTTGCCCACAAGACTCCACAGCTTAGAGGGAGCATTGAACGCATCGTACATGGATCTGCTCTTCATGCTGCTCGTGAAATACCCAGACTACGGCAATCAGGAGGAAAGGAGAAATGCTGGCCACACCTACGGGCGCATGAGCCTGTGTGCAGAAATTGCCATCGAGTCGCAGCAGACTTCTGGCGACTCCGTGGGGTTTCAAGGCAACTGACTAACAGCTTGGGTGCTACTAAATGCAGTACTGAAGGCCAGCATGGTGTGGCCCTCTTAGAGCATCAGACTAGGGTCTGGAAGGCGAAAGATCAAATCCCTGTTCCCCCCAGTGGGAAGCTCACTGGGTGACCCTGGGCCAGTCACCCTCTCTCATTGCAAGCTACCTCACAGGGTTAGTGTCGCAAGGATAAACGGAGAGAATTATGTTGTAAGCCAGGGGTGTCGAACTCATTTGTTACGAGGGCCAGATCTGACATAAATGAGACCTTGTTGGGTCAGGCCATGTGTGTCATAAAATGTAATGCCAGGTAGCGGAGATATAAACTTTATAAAGGACACAAAGACAAAGGGCGCTTTTTAAAACTTAAAATAAAAACATGCTTAAAACATTAGCACTCTTGCAATATTTTGTTTATTTAACAGTGTCTGATAACTGACACCTCTTGCTCTGAATTACTGCGTCAAAATGTCTGTGCTGTTGCAATCTTGAGTATGCTGTTCAGGTGTGTATCTGTAAGCTGCAAAGCTACCATGATGCAGCAGAACTGGAAGAAGAAGCAGAAGACAGCCAGTTCCACTGCAGGCCTGAGAGAAACCCTCCAGGGGCCTGATCCGGCCCCTGGGCCGCATGTTTGACACCCCTGTTGTAAGCTGTTTGGGACCTCTATGGGGGAGAAAAGCCAAGTATGTAACTATCAAAATAAACAAATGGGGCAGAGCGATTGCCCTCCCCTTCCTACAGTCTCTGCAAGAAACGGCAGGGAAAACTCCGAACTGGCCTTCGGTCAGATACAAGACTAGCTCCTTTCTGGCTAAGCCGGCAAACTTCTGCTGATTGAGAGTGGCTTTCTCCACCCCCTCACTCATTGTGCTGGGGGGGGGGGAGTGGGCAGGAGAGAGCCGTAGCCCCGCACTGCAGGATCCTTTGCTTTTATTCCCGTTTGTTTGCTTTGAAAGTGAGACCTTTCATGTTTTATTGTTATGGAGTTAAAGGCTGGCCTGGAGGTGCCGCACTTTAGTGGAAACAGCTGCCGCTGCTGGTGTCCCTCGGTCAAGTGGGGGGCCCTTGGAGCAGAGTGTCACCCTCTTAAAAGCAAACGGGGCGTGCAAAACCCCAAACTCCAGACCCAGCTTTCGTTGCCGCTTATCCGTCCAAGCTGAGGGGAGGTATTCTTTGCCCAGGCCCTGAGGCAGTCTACTACCTCATGCCCGCCCAGCCCTGGCATCGGAGATTTGGAAGATTTAATGTTAATTGAAATGCCGGCCGGCAGGCTGCTTCTGTTCACTAGACCCGTTCCCCACCACTCAGTGGAGGAACGCAGCCTGACCCACGAGAATTCTTCAGGAGCCTATTTAAGGTTTGGGTCCTTCTGTTCACTTAGGCTTTCAGGCAGTGGGGGCGGCTGTAAACCCTGGCTGACCACACAGCATTCTGGCTGTTCTCACCCTTGCAGGGTGGGTCCTATGGAGGACCTTTGCTATCTAACACTTCCCCTTTGCCCGCCCCAGGCGTGGAGGAGGATTCTGGGGAGTCATTCCTCACAAAATAGTAAAAAGCCCAGCAGCACCTTTAAGACTAACAAACTTTATTGCCGCATAAGCTTTCAAGAAACACAGCTCTCTTCGTCAGATGCATCTGACGAAGAGAGCTGTGTTTCTCGAAAGCTTATGTGGCAATAACATTTGTTAGTCTTAAAGGTGCTACTGGGCTTTTTACTATTTTGCAGCAACAGATTAACATGGCTGATGCCTCTGGATTCCTTACAAACACAACAGTGTGGCTCTGGTGCTTCAAACAGGCTTTGGTCGGCAACTGGACTGGCCCAGTGACCGGACTGCCAGACTAGGACATGGGAAACCCCACTCTGTTACGGAAGCTCACCGGGTAACTTTGTGCCAGTCTCATTCTCTCTGCCTAACCTACTTAGCAAGGTTGCTGAGAAGGTAACAAACGGGGAAGGGAGACCCGTGCCGGCCATCCTGAACCCCCTGGAGGGAGGGAGGGATACAAAAGCATTGGGTGGAGATTCGTAAAGGGCCTTGACCTGCTTTGCGCTGACAGTTCCGAATTTACCCGAAACGAGAGAGGCTGAATTGCAGAGACGACACTGAAAGTCAATGGAGAAGAAGAGGAGATTGGATTTATACCCTGCCCTTCACTACCCAAAGGAGTCTCAGAGTGACTTACGATCTCCTTTCCCTTCCCCTCCCCTCAACAGACACCCTGTGAGGTAGGTGGGGCTGAGAGAGCTCTCTTGAAAACTGCCCTTGAGAGAGCAGCTATGAAAGAACTTGTGACTGACCCAAGGTCACACCAGCAGCTGCACGTGGAGGAGTGGGGAATCACACCTGGTTCTCCCAGATTAGAGTCCGTGCTCCTAACCACTACACCAAACGGGCTCTCAAGGGAGCTGAGGCTTTGGGGCTGGCTCTCCCACCAAGATCTGCTGGGGAACTCGCACAACATGACCTCGTGGATTCCTTGCCAAGCCCCAGTTTCCACCCAAACAGCCGTCAATTTGTGAATGAGGAAGTGCTCCAAGGGAGGCCTCCCCTCTGCCCCCCCTCCCCATGGAACAGCTGGCGCTGGGTGGGGTGGGGGGAGACAGGAGAGAGAGAAACAGTGTTTATGCTATTTAGAAACAATTACCATCTGCAAGGATCTATCAATCCTACAAATTGTTTGGCCCCTTGACCCGAAGCTCAAACAACCCTTTCCCCGGCTATGTGTGAGTCGGCCGTCCTTGGAATCCAATTGCTGGAATCCAAACTGCGGAGGAAAATTATTAATTCCAAGAGCAGGGCAGAAAAAGCGGGGCGCTTGCAAGGACCCTCCCGCTTAGCGAGCCGTGTGGCCCTCTGGGGGTTTTTTTTGCAAATAAATGTTTATTTAAATATACATGTAAAAACAACAACAACCACCAGACATAAACATCAAGTACACACCTCACTCCCCCTATAGAAAAACAACCTACAGTATACACATAACAACAAAGAAAAGCAAAAGAGCTCAGCATTCAGTATAGATACAAAGAGAAGGAATTCTTTTCCCTTCTTTTTTCTTTTCCTATCAACATGCATAATTAATGTATAGTTACAACGTGATTAAAGTATAGAGAGAGGTTTATTTAACTTTATCCCATAATTTGAGGAAGGGCTTAAACATACTTTGGGTATTGTTCTGAGTTGTGTATAAAATAAAATCGTGCCCCGTTTCAAAAAAGTCTACAGTTTTGGCTTTGGATTTGATTATTCTAATATGACTTGTTAATTTTTCAGCTATTGCAATCTGCCATAACGCAGAATACCATGCGTGTAATGTTAATAATTCTGCGGCTTTCCAACTTTTAGCAACTATCCTGCGTGCCACCATTAACATAAACACTATTAGTCCTTTAGAAGTCACCTTTTCATTTTGTTTCTCCCATATTGTTAATAGGGTCAAAGCTGGTGTAACACAGATGGTCTGACATGTAATTTTTGCAATTTCTGCAAAAATGTTCTCCCAGAATTGTGACACTACCGGGCATAGCCACCACATATGAATATAGTCACCTTGCTGATTACACTTTCTCCAGCATTTTATTATTTGTGTTGGTTATTCTTGCAAGGCAAACTGGAGTGAAATACCACCTGTGTAAAAATTTCAAGTTCTCTCTAAGAGCTATTGATATCGTTTTCCTTGTTTGGGTAAACCATCTCTTATTCCAAATATTTTGCCCCATCTTTATTCCGCTATCTTTCTCCCATGTTATTTTCAACCCATTTAATGAGCCTGAATCTGTCTCAATTAAATATGCGTATATTTTAGAGGTTATATGTCATATGTTGCATTAAAATCTGTTCACATTTCAATAGCTTTCTAGCCCTCCGGTTTTTGGACCACCTGTCCGGGGTGTGTGTGTGTCCCTCTCTGACGGCTAGCCCAAACAAGTTAGCTGATCAGCGAGAGACAATTTAGGAGGGTGACGGACCCCGCAT